CCCCCCCCCCCCCCTCCCCCGTAGACCCTTAACGCCAACCCCGACTTGGTTGAGCGAGAGAGCGAGATCGTGGGGCAGGCTGGTCGGCTTGGAGTGGTGACGGTAGCGACTAACATGGCCGGCAGGGGCACAGATATCTTGCTGGGCGGGAATCCGTCGGTGATGGCGAGGATCAGGGTCAGGGACGCCCTGGCGGCTGAGTTGCTCAGCGATGAAGACCTCGCGGCGGTGCCCAAGGTGAGGGACGCTTTCTCGTTGTTGTTGTTGTTTTTTTTGTTGTTGTTGTTGTTGTTGTTGTTGTTGTTGTTGTTGTTGTTGTTGTTGTTGTTGTTGTTGTTGTTCCTGTGTTGTCGGTATTGTCGTCCGTGTTGGTGTCGTTTTTTGATGGGGCTTCTCTGTCGAAACTGGGAGCAAATTCGGTCTAGACGAAAGGGATGGGATGGTACAATGGTCAAATCGCCCTCAAAACACGAAAATCCCCTCCGCCGTCCCACCCCCAAGGACGGAGCCTGGGCCGGCGGTATCGCTCCGTCCCGACATTGTAGGGATGCGAGGTCTATGGTCTATTGCGACTACGGCATGCGTTTACGTTAGTACCCACCCCACTCCGTCCGCTCGAGGACGCGTGGTCAATGGCCTAACAGCTAAGGCAGTGAAAACATAAGAGAGAGTACCCTCGCCCCCCCCCTCCCCAGGTGGGAGAAAACTTCTTCCCCTGTGAACTCCCGGAAGAGGCGTCGTCGGCTCTGGAGGAGGCCATCGCCGCATGCAAGGGTGACTCCGCGCTCTTTGCCTCCGACAACGACAGCAGCGACGCCGGGAAGCTGCTTTCGCGGGAGGCGCTAGAGGGCCTGGTGTCTGCGGCTTGCGAGGCGGGACCTGTGGAGGGTGACGGGGCCGTGGCTGTCAGGGAGGCGGCGACGGCCATCAAGAAAAGCTTCGCCGATGCCCTCAGCGAGGAAAAAGAAAAGGTAAACTGCGCGCAAGTGGTACGTATACTGCATCAAGGCAGAAAAAGGTACCCCAAACGGAGACAGGAATGATATGTAGCAGAGCCAGGCGAGGGGGTTGCTATCTTGTTGTATATTGGTTGAAGTATGAAAAAAGAGCCAGCGTCACAAGCGGTTTTTGCTCGGATGAAACTCCGGAAATGCTTTGCTTGTGTTCGGACCAAGAAAACCTGTCATCACGTTAAACCTTGAGCTTGGCTTAACCTCGGCTTATCCTGGGCTCACCCTCGAGTTAATCTCAGCTTGATAATCGGTTCAAACCCGGCTTAAAACTCGGCTGAACCTCACCTTAAACTCGGTTTGACCTAGGATTAACCAGGTTGAATGTCGCACAGTGGTGTTCCAGCTATGCGGTGACGCCTTTACACCGCTCTAGGTTTGAGTACTGACTGGCTAGAGGGTCGATTATATTGTGGGGCAAGCTCATCGAAAGGGGTCGAGAACCGATTCGAAGGCGATCACATGAATTGCTCGAAGTAGTAGCGGACAATTTCGCCAACAGGTATTCCTTCGCTATATATTGCTACTAGCATTGCATGGACGGACGGTCTCGGTTGCTCACTATTATAAATAGTTGGTTTCGTTTGACTTGGTTCACTGTGGGCCGCGACAACTCTTATCACGTGTTGTGGTGCGGGACAGTGGGGGGCTCGCGAGTCATTCAGGTCACCTTCGGATGTGCCCTAGCCCTCCTCGATTGGCTCCACAGCCAATTGATTAGTCGAATTTCCCGAGAGCGAAAAGCTGTCATGACGTTAACCTCAGCTTAAACCTCTGCATTACCTCAACAGAGAAAGCATCATCCGATTTCAAGGCATCGCGAAGGAAGACATGGAAGATTTAGAGATGTGCATCCATACCCTCCGCATTGGACCGACCGACTACTACCGTAAGGTTGCAAGTCAGCTAGAGCACAGGGGGGAGATCGATTTTCAAAGCGTAATTTTTCCACGACCAGGAGGTTACCACTGTCGAAAAAGGGCGGTTTTGGAAATGTCTCATCGAGAGCTTTCCTGAGAAGTATCAGCTGGCGCTCGCACCCTTCTGGTTGTGTAGAAAATACGCCTTGAAAACCAGTTGCACCCCTGTGCTCTAGCTGACTCCCAACCCTGGCTAGTTCAAAGGAACACGTATTTGGGTCAAATTGTGCGTGTGTCGTATAGATTGGTCGTGGTGTAGATCCGCCTGATGATTGATTCATCGTATGCGTAAGACCATCGCAGGTCCCTGAACAACATCCGTCGCATGCACAGGCTGATCGTAGTCCACCTACCATGACCTGCATCTTCTCTTCTTCCACGCGTACTACCTGCACGCATCATCAGGTGCTCGAACTCGGCGGCCTTTACGTGGTGGGCACGGCAAGGCACGAGAGCCGTCGCGTAGACAACCAGCTTAGGGGGAGAGCCGGGAGGCAGGGGGACCCGGGGGCGACACGGTTCTTCCTTTCACTGGACGACGACATCTTCAGGTGATTTTGCGGTGCCCCCCCCCCCCCCCCCCCCCCCCCCCCCCCCCCCCCCCCCCCCCCCCCCCCCCCCCCCCCCC